ATGAAATATGCGCTAATTTGCATACATTTCTAGTACAAAAATCTAAACACTGGATGATGTCAGTTTCAAAATTCTTGTTTAATTTTTTTGACATATTAGAGTCAAAAGTGTTTACAGAGGGAATTTTGGGTATCTCATTTTTGTCACTCCATAATTCAGAAAATGCCTAGAACGGACAAAAAAACCCCTATATTTTCATAATTTTTAGGGGATTAAAATGTTAATCATGATTAAAATAATCAAGCAAATTATATATGAACAAATCTCTCTGTAAAAAGCTTCAGGATATCGACCGGAATAAAAATGCAAAGTTTGGTGTGTGTAAGTACTACTGAAGTGGAGATTTATGGCTCAGCGTAGGAGAAAAAACTCATTTTGAGAAAACGGCCTTTAAAAATATGTATTGTAATTGAAATCTATTGACACAGATAGATAAAAGTGCTATAAAAGAAACACTTAACAGTGTCTTTTGGATGTTTTCTTTCCACTAGTCTGAAAAAAAAAAGACTATGAAAAAACAAAAAGCCCAAAATCTCAAACTTGACAGGTGCATGGAAAAACAGTGTTTTTGCCTGCAGTGTCTCCCCGTAACTTTAACATAATGGAATCTTAATGTTTAATTGAATAATATCATATCATGTAAATATCATGTTGTTCTGTCTCCAGCCCCGCACCCCCAGTGAGGCCAGGCGCTTTTACACCGGGCGGCCCGTCCACCTGGACAAGATCCTCATGACTAAAGTGAAGGTCCCGCACACATTCGCCGTTCACTCGTACACGCGTCCCACCGTGTGTCAGTACTGCAAGAGACTGCTGAGAGGACTCTTCCGCCAGGGACTCCAGTGCAAAGGTCTGACAATCCTGCTCAATAATCCATCCTGACTTACAAATTAATACTACAGTACAACAGCTAGGTAATTGTATTCATTCATGTTGTATTAGTGAATTCCACACTAATATGACTGCATAATGACTCATATGCAATGACAAGGTGATCGGAGGATTGAGTTTGTGGTAATGATTGACTGACTGGACATTCTTCAGTCAAATACATAAATGCATGGACATAAAATATTGATTTGAGTTTAAATTAAATATTGAGTTGAGTTGAAATTATGTAGTTATCTTGCTTGTAGATTATCTTAAAATAACAGTAAAAGTACACTTACTATGTACACTCTCTTTTAAAAAAAGGGTCAGTAAGTTTTTTTTTGTTTTTTTTTTGTAAGTTTTTAAACAAATTAATACTTTTATTAATCAAAGGATGCATTAAGCCTATCAAAGGTGACAGTAAAGACATTCGTGCAAACATTTATCTTTCAAATAAATGCTGTTCTTTTGAATTTTCTATTCATGAATTCATCCTTAAGAACGTATCATGCCCCCCACCCAAAAAATAATCAAATCAGATAAAATAGAAAAACAATATATATACTGTATATAACAAATGAAAAAAAAAAAAATAATAAAAATTTCCAGATATTTTTCAACATTAATAATATTGAGAAACGTAAATTATCAGCAAATCGGCTGAAAATTCAGCTTGGCCATCACAGGAATAAATTACATTTTAAAACATATTCAAATAGAAAACAGATTTTCACTTGTAATTGTATTTCAATTTATAATTTTACTGTTTTTACTTGATTTTTGATCAAATAAATGCAGCTTTGATAAACATAAGATACTTTTAAGAGCATAAACGACCTAAAAGACTTTCAGAATCATTAAAAAAAAAATCTTACTGACCACAAGCTTTTGAATGGTAATGTAGTTCGTAATATAGAAAATAATTCTAGCAACAAGACAAACATTAATAATAATACAATAGTAATTTAAAATGATTAATTATTCAAATTAAGTGACCTTTTTCTATAGTCAAGTAGTGGACTTATTTATACGTATTCTACATGCGTATTAATTTAATTTAAATGATTTATAATAATTTAAAACCTATATTAATTTGTAAGATTTAAATTTGATCTAATTTTTTAATATTTGATTTTATGACACTTGTTTTTTTCCCCCTTCTTTTTTAAGACTGCAAGTTCAACTGCCACAAGCGATGTGCATACAAGGTCCCAAATGACTGCTTAGGGGAGACTCTCGGTAATGAGTGTGAGAGAAACATTGTTGACATGATGGACATTGTTAACACATTTGGAATATTTGCTCTGTTTCTTCTGCTTCTGCAAACATGTAATTATTGTTTGTCACTTCACGGTGCTTGTGTGTGCATTTTTGACTTCTTTCCCATCTGTCTGCCTCTCAGACATATTAAGTCCAAGCACAGACATGGAGGTGCCGATGGACTACAGTAATGAGTATTCTGACACTGATAAGTCATCTCTGATGGACGACTCAGATGAGGCCTGCAGTATCCCCGGGTCTTTCTCCCCAGACAGCAACCAGCATGGAGCCAGCGGAGACCAGAGGTAGTAAGACAGGTTTCAGACACACAGACAAAATTAAGGCCTAGTCACCGTAACCACAAAATTGGAAAGAATAATAATAGAGTTTTATGCAACTCAGGCTCATTGGAAATACGTGACTGTCTACTTTTTTTGCGAAAATGTACCTATATATAAATTTCACTAGAGTTTCCAACTGAAATGAACACTAGTGGCAATACAATAGCAACAACTTTTGTTCATTTTCACAATTTTGTAATCTAATAAATTGTATTGTTTGCATAACATAACCAGCTCCATATGTATGGCTTTTCTTGACATAGTAAACTTACTCGATAGCTCACCCGGTAGAGTGTAGAACTTGCGATATGGAGCACTCTGGTACGAATCTGGTGAAAAAAGAGACACGACAATCCACAAAAGAGGTCAAAGCCTTGCACAAGGAAACTAAAATGGCATGGTTGCTTCAGCAAATGTGTTTTTATCTCACATTTGCTTTTGTTAATACTATCAGTTATGTAAAAAAAAACGCTATTAACGCGATTCAGTGCCACTCACCGGACATGTCATTTCTGAAATGCCGTGATATGTACAATAAGCAATGTAATAACTAAGAAATTTAAACACACTATTTAGCGTCACTCACAGCACATTTTACCCGAAACTGCTATGAAACATGCTACAAGAAGCATACTATCATTTTGCAATGATTTTGTACCCACAGGCATGTTATTTTTATGACACTTATAAACCCGCATCTGCAATGGAGAAAAAGAGATATCACTGATAAGCACCTATTGTGGACATGTCATCTGAAAAGTGCAGTGAAATATGTATATTTGGACTAACTATCTCAGATTTTGAGTCATGAGTCATGTATTTCCAATGAGCCTGGGATGGTTTTATGGCTTATACAAATCATAGCAAAATTACAAAAAGTGTACAAGCCCTTCACATCAAGTGTGAAAATTCAATTTACAACTATGCATTCTCATATTGCAGGTCAGTTTCCCTTTGCAAAAAAAACGAACTGACCAATAAGATATTAGCTTTTCACAAACTATTCACAATTCATGTTGTTTTGGTGCATCTTTCTTTGTACGAATAGCTTTTATTCAGCATACAGTTGCCTGCATACCTCTATGTCTGCCACACACCTGGATTCTCTTATAAGATCTCATAATTTATGGCATGTGTGATGTTTCCCCAGTGCTAATATTCCTCTGATGAGAGTAGTGCAGTCGATCAGGCAGACCACACGTCGCTCTAGCACAGCCATCAAGGAAGGCTGGATGGTGCACTACAGCAACAAGGACACACTGGTACTTCCTCTGACTGCTGGCTGACCTGAAAGGGATAATTTACCCAAAAATGAATATTCTGACCTCATTCGCTAACTCTCATGTCGTTTCAAACCTGTATGACTTTTTTCTTTGGAACTGAAGAGGGGATCTTTTGAAGAGCATCTTACATTTACCAATAAATCTTCCAAATGGCTTTAGAATACTTAGATTACTTCAGAAGACTACAAAATGGAATGCAGAAGTCAATTATTAATGTATTAATTCAAAAATAAGAATAAATATGTTCAAATTCACAAATAAACATATTTAATACGGCAATATTTATTTTATTTCCATTTAGTTTCATTGATAAAATATTTAAAAATGCAATATATACATACGTATGTTTGTGTGTGTGTGTGTGTGTGTGTGTGTGTGTGTTTTAAAATCCAGTATATATATATCCGATATATATATATATATATGGACCACTTTAATGTATTTATTTATTCATTTACTAGTTTAGGTGTTTTGAGTCTTAAAACACCCAGTTTCATTATATGGAAAATAGTGACAAGGATTTTCTTCAAATAAATTGTGTTCTACAGAGTTTGAACGATATAAAAATGAGTAAATTAAGTCATTTTAGTTTTAATTTTTTTTGCGTGAACTATTCTTTTAACACAGCCAGAGTTTTCTGTCTAGTCTTTACACTATCCTTACCTCACTTCCAAACACCCTATCGATATTTCTTTATATGTTCTGCATCAATCTGCACACTTGCGCTATAATATCAGCAAATCTTCAGCTTTTAAATCACAGGCTATTCTGAGCGTCTTCTGCAGGAGTGGGTATTGATTTGTAGGAATGAATAGCAGTAAATGCCACTCATAGTGTTTGGAGAGTATTTTCACAAAGAACGGGGAAAAAATGGCTGAGGCATTTTCTCAACATTGATATATTGACCTGTTCTCGGCCTCCTGTAAAACTTCTGAATTTCTGTGTAGCATTTTTATACTCCTCTTTAGCCTTTTCTTTCTAACCTTCCTCCTGGTTTTTCTCTTGCGTCCTCCTCTTCTCTTCAGCTCTGTTTATCCTTCGCTTTCTTCCTCCTGTCTGCTGGGGTGAATCTGACCCCAGCACCAACTCCTTGTTGAGCAATGACCTCTGACCTCTCACCCCACCCTCCAACAGAGGAAGAAACACTACTGGCGCCTGGACTGCAAATGCATCATCCTGTTTCAAAACGACACCACCAACAAATACTACAAGGTAGAATCTCACTTTCTTTTGTGTTTTAATGACTGTTTATTATGAAAGCATGCTTCCGACAATGTATGAAAAAAATACAATAAAATCAAGTCAAAATGGTAATTGCAACCTTTTATCTGACAATTTGGATTTTTATTCTCACAATTCTGACTTTTTCTTGCAATTCTGAGAATGAATTCAGAATTGTGAGATAAATAAAAGTTGTAAAAAGCAATTTGTTTTTACATTTTTTTTATTCCACGTTGGAAACAGAAAAACTATTGTGAGGATGTAAACTTGGAATTGCAAGAACAAAAGGTAGAATTCTCAGTTTATATCTCATAATTCTGAGTTCAGAGTCTTGCAATTCTGACTTTTTTCTTGCAATTTTGAGAAACAAAATTACTAAATTACACAATTACTTTTTTAATTCCATGGTGTGAAAGAAATTCGGAAACTTGGAATTTAAAGAACAAAAGTTAGAATTTTTAGAGTTAGAGTTTGTCTTGCAGTTCTGAGTTTACATCTTGCAATTCCGACTTTCTTTTCTCAGAATTGCAAAAGTCAAAATTATGAGATATAAACTTAGAACAATTCTGAATTTTTCTCAGAATTGAAAAAAAAAAAGTCAAAATCGTGAGATATAAACGGAACAATCGTGACTTTTTCTCAGAACTGCAAGAAAGAAGTCAGATTTGTGAGATTTACACTCCGAATTCTAACTTTTCTTCTCGCAGTTCAGAGTTTATATCTCGCAATTCAGTTTTTTCATTTCTGCCACAGAATAAAAAAAATAAAAAGGTAATTGAGACCTTTTTCTTTACAATTCTGAATTTATATCTCACAATTCTGACTTTTTCATAATTGCGAAAAAAATAGTCAGAATGTAAAATAAAAAGTCACAATCACTTTTTTTTTTGTTTTTATGTATGTATGTATGTATGTACAGCATTTATTAATTATTTTTTCCATCCATCCCATGGTGGAAACAAGCTTCCCACCGTTTATAGACATTGTGAGCTAAATTGCACATGGAAAAGGAGTTAATGTGTGTGTGGAAATGCCACATTACATTATGCATTATGCGTTCACAGTGACAGATGAAGCATGAATATTCTGGGTTCATGAAATAATGCATTATGAATGGTTTTCACAAGCTGGGGTGACTTCACATGTAGAATGTGAACCTGGTTTGATGTATCATTTCAGTTAATTATCTCAACTCACATTGGCATTAACCCAGACCCTGCTTTTAAATTAACCTTGGCGCATATTGTCTGCATGATTGAGGGTCTAATTTGCCCCTTTGCCTCCCTCCACAGGAGATCCCGCTCTCAGAAATCCTTGAGGTCCGCCTGGCAGGTGATTTCTCTCTCGTCCCTCCTGGCAAGAGCCCCCACTGCTTTGAGATCATGACGGGTACCATGATCTACTTTGTTGGTGAAGACCCCAACACCACCCCGTCCCCATCATCCAGTGTGTCTGGTCTGCCCATCTCCACCAGCCCCAGCAGTGTTGCGCCCAATAGTGGGGTGGGACGAGAGTTTGCCAAAGGATGGGAGACTGCTATACGTCAAGCCCTCATGCCAGTCATCTTCCAAGACAACCCTCCAGCCGAAGGTCATACTCCTCACCGTAAGTGAGATTAATTCTAAGAAGAAAGGAGTGATTCTGCATACATAATCACAATAGGGGTCACCGTTATGAAACCTAAACAAATCATTTGGTTATGTGAAGAATTTAGTTAGACATGATGCTATGATATGATAATATAATATGATGCTCATTTGATGTTCATTTTCTTAATTTGGACTATTTAAAAATACATGAATGGATGGATGGATGGATGGATGGATGGATAGATAGATATTTTTATTATTTAATTTTAACATCCTTATTTGTCATTGACCTTTATACAGTACGAGTATAACACTATAAAGTGAGACTAATATGGTTATTAATTTGATTAATTTTCAGGGCAGGCATCAGTCAGCATCTCAGTGTCTAACAGTCAGATTCAGGAGAACGTGGTGAGTAAACATGACCTTTAAAGATGCGATACATCACATAGTCTGATGATGACAAAGATGATTATGATAATGAGTAAGATAATAATAAACGATGATGATGTACCCAACAGGACATTGGAATGGTGTACCAAATCTTTGCTGATGAGGTTCTGGGCTCTGGACAATTTGGTGTGGTATATGGAGGTATGTCTATGACTGAAAACCAGATTTTTTAAATTTCTAAACATTTGCTAGGGCATTGCTATACGGCTGGTGTGCTTGGTGGTTGCCAGGCTATTCTGGATGGTTGTTAGGTGTTTTCTTACTGGACCATGTAAACAGTGCACATGCACCCTTAAGATGTTATGATATTCTAGACTGAAGTCCAATTTGGGACAAGTTACGCTCTTAAAAATAAAGGTTCTTATTGGCATTGATGGTTCCATGAAGAACCTTTAACATCCATAGAATCTTTAAGGAAAATTTTATTTTTTATAAGGATGCCCGATATTATCGGAATGATATCGGAATCGTCCGATAATGGCTTAAAATGAGAATATAAGGATCGGCCCGTTATGATAAATTATGCCAATATGCCTTGCCTATAAGATAAATAACTCGCATGTGATCAGGGTGTGCTAGCGATAAGATCAAGTCAGCAGTGTGGTCATTCAGGGAACTTTTGCCTAAATGTTAATTAGATTTAATGCCGTTTATTTACTTAGGGGGCGCTGTTGGCCTATTTGTAATAAAATGAAAGTAAAACACATAAATAACATTAAGATTGTGTTAAATAAATAAAGCAGTAATTGATGTCATAAAATCACGAGTATGCTTTGATTTAAAGGTCAGAAGCTATAGCTTACATGAATAAAAATCACAAATATTGCACTTGTAAATTAAAGTTTTATATATACATATTTATTCATTAATGTGTAATGTTTTTTTTTTTCCCAAACAGATTATGAAACTTAAATTCAAGGAGCTTTAAAAAAATAGACAACATATTTTTTTTTTTTTACAACTCTTTTACTTTTTGCTTTTTAAATCTTCAAATAATTTTAATGTTTCCACATCTGAGAAAGAAACAAAAAATGCAGTGATTGATTTAAAGTTGACTTATAGTTATTTTCAGCTTGCAGTGTTCTCTCATTGTAAAATAACTTAATTATTGTAAAAAAAAAAAACTCACTAAAATGAACAATTTTGATTATAATCTCTGCACAGGAGAGAGTTGATGTTGTTTCCAAATAAAAGGAAATATATCGGTATTGGCATCAGCAATCGGCCAAAATGAGTTGAAAAATATCAGCATATCAGATATCGGCAAAATCCTGTTCTTTGGGGAACCCAAAATAGTTATTCTATGGCATCACTGCAAAAATCCACTTTTTGAATCGTATTATTTTTTTTTTCAAAAGTTTAAACACCAAAAATGGAATTCTTATTCATAACCCTTGTCATAAGTATATGCAATAGCAAGCACCACTAATGATAAGCAAAAATGGACCTTTGCAAAAGATCTCGCATATACAACACATAATCATGTCCTCAACCCACACAGGAAAACACAGGAAAACTGGCCGGGATGTAGCCGTGAAGGTGATCGACAAGCTTCGGTTCCCCACCAAGCAGGAGAGCCAGCTGAGGAATGAAGTAGCCATATTGCAGGTGACCAGCAGGGGGCGATAGAGAATCAATGATTCATCACATTGTATTGACTGAATGATAATGAACACATATAACACAATTAAACCTGCTGTGTGCCTGCTGATTGTGAGGACACCTAACATAAGGTCATGAATGCAAATAAGCAACAACGTGACTCACTCAACCGCATCTCTTTATCTTGTCCTTTCATCCTCTCTCAGAGCCTGCGACACTTGGGTATAGTGAATCTCGAATGCATGTTTGAGACACCGGAGAAGGTGTTTGTGGTGATGGAGAAACTCCATGGTGACATGCTCGAGATGATCCTGTCGAGTGAGAAAGGACGACTTCCTGAGAGACTCACCAAGTTCCTCATCACGCAGGTCAGCGCTGCGTTTAGACCTTAAAACTTGCTTCTCAGAGGTTAAGGACTGTTCACACCAAGGACATACGGTTATCACAGTCATTCTAAAGGCCTGTTCACACCAATAGAGATAGCTATAGTCGCAATTAACTACAACTATAATGATAACTATATAAGTGTCCTGTTTATTATAAGCGCATGCAGCATTTTTTCGTCTGCTGCTTTAAAGGTGTCATGAACTGCCTTTTTTATTATTTTGTACTGTTCTCTGAGGTCCACTTATGTTATCAAGATTTTTACATCAAAAAACATAATTTATAATTAATAAGCTATTTTCTGTCCTGTTTTGAACCCCCTCATCAGAACGCTTTGTTTGAATAGGTGTGGCGGATTGCAGACTTGGAAGTAAACGCCCACTGCTATGATTGGCTAATTGTTGTGTATGTTTGACAGCCTACAGCCTTCACAGATGGACGCTGCTGTGATTTAGGTCAAAAACGCATACATACTCAGTACATATCAAACGATCTGTAAGAAGAGACAAAGCAATAGTGGCCACGTAATAAAAACAGTTACTCACACTTGCGTGTTGCGACATTACTGTCGGTTCCAATATAGTCGGCACAGCATGGTCTTTTAGTTTCAATCTTTCTGAAAATCCCGCATCAAATTGTGCCTTGTTTGTAAACGAATCTGCGGTAAAATGAAGTGAACAAAGGACCAAGTTCTTACTGATGCGGTCTGGATCTTCATTAAAAATAAAGTTCATCCACTCTTTTCTAATTTTAAGATCAGAAGGAAGGCGATGCAAAGACTGTTTTTTTTTCCACAACTTCGTACTGTACAGCGTCTTGTTGTATTCGGAGCCATCTTTATTGTTTGATTTCAGCATAGACCTGCATTTTCCTCTCTCGTTATTTACTCTACATGTGCGAATCGGTGGGCGGGGCTAAACAGGCAGCGACGTAGAAGCAGGCGTTGATCTTCTACTCTGGAAGGTGGTGTTTAGCCATGCTATTACATCGTAGAGTGGCACATTCCACAACCTGTCGTTTTGGCAGATTGGCTTCAATATAAGCTGTTTAGACTAATGAGAAAGTTTTGAGTTCTGAAACTTACAGGATGTTTTTTTTTAAATAGCACAATAACCTCATATATTATTGATTTGCCCGCTCATATATTATACATTATTGATATTGATTTTTCAGTTCATGACCCCTTTAAATGCTCTTTCATGTCTGACTGACTGTTGATGTTTTTATTATTCACCACCTGAAAAAAAAATCATTCTGAAAGTGATTCCAAGCATATTGGAATAAAAAAAATTTAAGTGCTTCACGATGCCATAGAAGAACCTTTTTTTGTCTAAATGGTTCCATAAAGAATCTTTAACATCTGCAGAACCTTTCTGTTTCATAAAAGGTTCTTTGTGGCGAAAGAAGGTTCTTCAGATTATAAAAAGGTAAGAAAGTGATGGTTCTTTAAAAAAAAAAAACCTTTGACTGAATGGTTCTTTGGATGGAACCAAAAATGGTTCTTCTATATGGCATCGCTGTGAAGAACCTTTTAAAGCACCTTTAGTTTTAAGAGTGTGTGTCATTATTGTTATAGTTGTGGTGTGGACTTCACTGTTCTCATAGAATTCAAATCTGTTAATATGAACTAATGATGAGTTAAGGCATGTGCCAATCAAGAACTAACCTTAAATACGGCTTGAGTCATATGAATTCATGTGTGGATACCGACCGCCTTAACTACATGTTAATACGTGCCTTTTAGATAATATATTAATTAACACTTTGGGGTAAAATTTCACATGTGAACTCATGTTGTAATATTAGTTCTTGATTAGTACATGCCTTAAATCATCAATAGTTCATATTAATGTAATATTTAATTTAAGTATTAGTATATGAATATTCATGTACTGTTATTGTAAAGTGTTGCAGATAACTATAACGATAACTATGGTAGCATTGTGTTCTGTTTGTTATTAGCACACTGCAGTTTTGTCATTTGTTTTATTTTTTTTTTAAAGAATGCACTGTAGTTTTGTCCTCAAGCTCTTTAAAAGCCAGGTAGATTCTGATTGGCTGTCAAAGTTTTTATTGTATAGTTATCGCTATAGTAATCATTCTTGGTGTGAACGGGCCTTTAAAGACATTATTTTAAACCAGTATCTTCTCTTTCACGCCCTCTCTAGATTTTGGCTGCTCTGAGGAACCTTCACTTCAAAAACATAGTGCACTGTGACCTCAAGCCTGAGAATGTGCTGTTAGCATCAGCGGATCCTTTCCCACAGGTCAGAAATTCAAAAAAACACAATTTTAACACATCCTGATAAAGAGGCATGGGAAACAAAGTACAGCTCTTTTTTCTGTTGCATAATGCAAGGTTATACTTCTTTTCGTTGACTCTTAACACTTCTTCCCACACACACACGGGATGTTCACAGGTGAAACTTTGTGACTTTGGTTTTGCTCGCATCATCGGAGAGAAGTCTTTCCGCCGTTCGGTCGTTGGCACGCCGGCTTATTTGGCCCCCGAGGTCCTGCTGAACCAGGGTTACAATCGCTCTCTGGACATGTGGTCTGTAGGTGTGATTATGTATGTCAGTCTGAGTGGAACTTTCCCCTTCAACGAGGACGAAGACATCAATGATCAGATCCACAATGCCGCCTTCATGTACCCACCCAACCCATGGAAACAGATCTCTCCTGAAGGTAACACAGTAAAATTACACCGAATTTAATACAAGTTCCTGATGTACAATAAAATGTCAGATCAAATTGAGAATATGAGTATATGAAAAGTTAAAAGAGCTGAATAGAGAACACTTTGCGTGGCTCTTCCTGGAAATGTACTTCATAATAACAAAAAGAATTCGATGCATTAAAAGCAGGCTGATCGTTGAGTCGCTCCAACCGCCTTTGATTTTCTGTCCGCTGCTGTAAATCATTTAGCTTCAATCAATGCAGATTTTGTTTGTGTGATCTCTCCGTTTCTCCATAGCTATCGACCTCATCAATAACCTGCTCCAAGTGAAGATGAGAAAACGCTACAGTGTGGACAAGAGTCTCAGCCATACCTATCTACAGGTAATGCCAATATCAGGCTCATGCTATTAATGGCTCTTTCCATGATTAGGGTGCCACATATGATATATATATATATATATATATCTCTCAATTTCAATCTCTATTCAATGTCTGTACGCACGAGACTCGAACCCGCAACCTTTGGGTTACGAGTCCGACTCTCTAACCATTAGGCCACGATTTATGGTGTATGTATACATTCATACACCATAATATTGAGAAAATCGCCTTTAAAGTTGTCCAAATGAAGTTCTTAGCGATGCATATTACTAATCAAAAATTAAGTTTTGATATATTTACTGTAGTAAATTTACAAAATATCTTCATGGAACATGATACTTTGATAGCTTATTTTATGATTTTTGGCATAAAAGAAAAATCTATAATTTTGACCCATACAATTTTTTTTGGCTATTGCTAAAAATATATCCCAGTGACTTAAGACTGGTTTTGTGGTCCAGGTTCACACACATATACAGTATATATACACACACACACACACACACATATATATATATATATATATATAGTAGTCAACATTTGAAGTGGATCAAAAAAGTTTTTCAAAAGTGGATTCAAATTTGTCCTAAGACAAGAATGCATTTTGGTTTTAGGACAACTTTGATGAAAGGTTTTGATCCACTTCAAATGTTGACTAGTGTGTGTATATGTGTGTGTGTGTGTGTATATATATATGTATATATATGAAATATATTGCGTATGTGTGTGATTGTGAGTGTGCATTATACTATATTAATTGAAACTACTATTACTATTAAAAAGATAATTTTTTAATTAAATGAGACGGAAGCAAGAAGGATAATCTAGACAAGGATAAGGCTATTATATTCACATGAAAAAAAATTGGAAATAGGGCTGTAATTACATTAAAAGGTCCACATGAAAGAAGGAAAAAGGACAAATGTGATAAACAACCCCTGAGATGACAAAAATCCAAGTATGGATTTGCAGTAAAGAGAGTTTTATGCTTGACAAGGAAGTTACATTAAGGGCAAATAAGTAATGAATCACAATGAACCGCAAACAAAATGAATCATCATTAGCTGTGGCGTCCTTCTGTCTTTATCATCTCCTTATTTGCTCCGCTCACCTGGTGCCCCCGCCACCTGCGTCCGACGACGACGAGCTGGAGGGTGCAGAGGACGCGGACATGCAGGGGCTGACAGAGCGTGTTAGCATCCTTTGAAGAAGAAACCGAGGCGGAGGCAAGAGGAATGAAGAGTGCCTGCCCGAACTTTTTTAGCGATTTTTAATGCACCAAGAGCGTAGGATGGAGGTAGTCCTCTGTAAGAAAGCATAGCTTCAGGTGTCTTTGGCAGGCCGTCTGAACTCTGACCTCCTTCAGCCAGGACTGCTGCAGATTTGTTTCTGGAATGCAGATATTAAGGTTGGGAAAGAACTACTTTGGATTCCAACATGTAGACACAAAGTCAAACTGTTCATTGTAGGCATGTGCGAAACAAATTTTTTCGAAATGGGCTGGTTTTGGGCTCGTCTCCCCCAACTAGACATCTTTCTTAAGGTACGGTCACATTTACAAGTATTCTGCGTATTTTCGCAGGCGAAACCCAGTCAGTTCAATGGAAATACATGCTTTCGTTAATTTCATGTCAGGACGAAAGATTTCCTCATGTAGATTAAGCAAATGGTTCAAGTTGGTCACACGCATTCGCCACATTTACCAACAAAAAGCTACTTGGTTTGAAAGTGAATTCTGTGTGAATGGAGCTTCATAAATTGCTTAACTATTGACAATAGACAATGGACTTTTTCCCTACGCAATTTTGCTAATGTGACCGTACCTTTAGGGGACAAAATAGAAGAGAATCTTCCAAAAGATCTCGAGACATGGTTTTAAAATGTTGAATATTTGCAGCATCTTAAAAACTTGCAGAACATTCAAAAAACAGTGCAAGATGTGACACAATGGCCAGAGACGTTCTTCTGAATGTGTCTTTCCTGACAGTGGTGCTTTGAAGGTGATGAATAAACTATGTTTTAAGAGTTTTAATGGTCAAAACTGTCTAAAGGTATGGTCACATTTTCCGGTGCCCCTTGAAATTCTGTGGCCAAAATCCAGTCATTTCAATATGCAATCAGGAGTTTCGTGTGAAGTCGTTCCTCGAGCAGATTGCATTCATGTTCATGTGAATTTGCCGCATTAATCAACAGAAAGTTGAAAATGTCTTCTGTGTGAACGGTGCTTCATGCATGGACAAGATACCTTTTTTGCCCACAAAATTTCACCCAAATTTTGACAATGTGACCTAAACTGCTAAAGCGCAGCATGCTTTTAACATGCAAATTAAAGAAAAATCGTTAACAAGTTATAGTCAATCTCGCTAATTGACTAATCGACCATCATGACCCATTCCTAGTTTGTTGTTCACAACAGACTGATGTCAAGCTGATATTCTCCAGGTCAACAGAAATGTATGAGTCATGATACAAATGCAAAGGAAAAAAAAACGTATCTATTAAGCTGGACTTTTTTTCTTTTTTGTGCTCTGTGGTGACGCCACCTTTAGTTTCAGATCCACTTTTTACGTATTACTGAGAACATTTTCACAAAATAACCTGGAAGAAGTCCAAGAGTCTGGTGTTTTCCAGTATCGTCATCAGTTTGCCCTCCATGGGGAAGATGACATGGATGTTATCTTATGAGGACTGATAAGCAGGCTGCCCCTCGGCCTTATCAGCATACAAAATAAGTGCACAAAGACTACCTAGACTGTTCTCAGATCAGCCGCTGTTAGCAACCGGCTGATCTTTGCTTGTACTGGATGTGTATTCTTATTCCTAACTGACCCTAGACCTGAGCATTAGGCTGCATGTCACTGAGAATTAGGTTTGCTTGAAACTTATTGCTATGAAGGACTATTTTGTAACCTTAGAAATTCTGATGTAGTTTGTGGAAGGTAATGTCGGAGCATTGCCAGCAGGTATAATAAACACGGTGATGCATAAATCTGTTGAAATTAATCTTCTTGAGTCATGAGGTTTGAGTAAAGTTGATTTTTTTTATCCTCTTTTCCTGATTGATTCTCAAAAGAATCTAGCAGAGAGAATGACAAAATGAAAAACATAAAAATACACGGAGAACTTGTTCCAGGTACAATACGGCTTAAGCTTTACTGACAGCATCTGTGGGCACAGAAAATAATTTCAGCTTGTTCCCCAGTTTGTAAAAATAAGCAAAAGTGTTGAGTTTGAGTAATGCGCTTACTGTACAGTTGAAGTCTATGGAGAAAAGGCATTGTAGAGGGTTTAATATATTCATTCTTATACCAGTATAATAATTTATCTGTATTTGAGCTATAAATCATCCTTTTAATGGTGAAACTACGACAGACGTTGGGAAAGATGGCGTGATAAGTAACATATTAGAGGATGATGATGTGTTATTAAATGTCTTATTAAGGGAAATCAAAGGAAACATTTGCTCATTTAGTTTTTATAGCACAATTGAAATGGAATAATTGAAAACCATCAAAAGGCACTATATGTCCCACTTTAGCTTAAAAACCAGAGGGAAAACTTGCCACCGCTCTCATCTGATTTGATCAGAATATGGATAATGGTTTTTTTTTTGTTTATGTGTCATTAATGGTACATTTATAAATAGCAGATTACCATTCAAAGGGAATAATTATATCAGTTATATAGAGGCTTATATTTTTTCATTTTAAATTATAATAAGACTAAATTATATATTGGAATTTTAAATATTAACTTATGTCAACAATGCAAGATACAGTGTTTTATTTCAAAATTATATAACAAATCTATTTCAAATAAATTCTGTTCTACTGAACCTTCTATTCCTCGAAGTACCTCTGTTGTCATAAAAATATTCAGCAAATCAGCCATATCAGCATATTAGACTGATTTCTGAAGGATCATGTGACACTGAAGGCTGGAGTAATGATGCTGAGAATTCAGCTTTGCCATCAAAGGAATGAAAGATATTTTAAACTTTATTAAAATAGAAAATAAATTATAATAATACCTCACAATAATAATATTTTTGTCACACTTTATTTTAAGGTCCAGTTCTTGCTATTAATTCAATTCAATTCAATTCAAGTTTATTTCTATAGCGTTTTTCACGATACAAATCGTTGCAAAGCAACTTTACAGCAAATTAAGTTTCGACAATATTTAGTGGCAGCTTATCAGTGGTGACTGTCAGTTAATGTACATATGGCAGAAGCTATTAACAAATCTTTAACTACGACGTTTGCCTCAATAAACTCAATATTATTAGTTGTTTAGTTTAGGTATTGGGTAGGATTAGGGATATAGAATATGGTCATGCAAAATATGTGCTTTATCAGTACTAATAAACAGCCATTATGTTAATAATATTCATGCTAATAACTAGTTAGTAATAACTAACTAAAAACTAGTTAATAGTGAGAATTTTGTCCCTGTTCTAAAGTGTTAGTTTAGGGACAAACTCTTATTAACTTGCTTATTTGCATGCATAGTACTAGCATATAGGCTATTTATTATCAATGGCTTATCCTGCATGACCATATTTTAGATCTAGTTCTATTGCAAATAAATTACTGTGAACACATTTTTTGTTTGTGTTTTTATAAACTGAGGGACACAACTATGTGATAATTGCCAAAATGCCTCAGAAACCGCTGATAAGAGTTCCACATTAATTGAACCAATAACTGCTTTAAGTTTAAACTCAAACAAATATTTCCTGACTGAAACTGTGAATGGAACATTACGTTGTTTCAGATCTAAAAACTCGTTGTTTCTATGAAGTTAAAAACATTAGGAAATGGAAAGTATCATATTTGCCCGGACAGCTTTAGGGAAAGCCCACATGTATGAGTCCAGAAACTGCTCTGTACTCTAGAAATCAGTCAGTTAGTAAGATCAAAGGAAATGCAAACCAGCAGAAACGGGAAGAATATGAAACAAATAATTGTTTTATATTAAAAATATAAAACAGTAATGAACCCCAAGCAGCAGGCAACCACAAAACAATGTGTACAGCATAAACATGAATTATTTAACAATACGTTTTAGATACAAGTCTCATTCCTTACCTGTTTTATTATAGTCAATACTTTATGAAATTCACTGAAAGGTCAAAACACCTTTTGATGAACTTGAGTTGTACCTTTTTATCAGACATAGGTGAACTGCTCCACATTTCCTCATGGAACGTAACCATTAAATAATCAGTTAAGAGAATATTAAGTTTATATAGGGTTAACCAAATTTCTCAGAAGTCTCAGCCTTTACCAGAACATTTCAGACAGAGAAACAGTAGGTGGTTTGGCATTTGAGGAAAAAAAAAATGTTGATAAGGCTTTGATTCAGTTATGATTTATCTATTCAATCAGGTTTTACTAACAGTGGTGTCTTAAAGCGGAAAAACATGACTGAGTGCTCATAATGCAAATTATAGTTTTATTCCATTACAGCCATTATGGCAAGCACAGAGAACATGTTAACAAGTCTGCAGTGTCTATGCTAAACAGGAAGTTGTGGCATTGTGTCAGACTGCCTCTGAGGCAGACTGAACCATCACTGGAAGTTTGTCATCTTCTGTCGTTCACCGCATGTCTGGAAAAAGCTTTTACTCATTGCGGTTCCCTCTAACGCTATCACATGCAGCTCTAAGGAAAAAAAAAACAAAAACAACCTAGCCCTAGCCTAACATCTTCATGTAGACATACATGTGCGAGAGCATGTGGATATCTCTCCTCCCCTTTCTCTCTCTCAATTCATCTCCTCTCCATCCACTCTACGCGAAGTGCATCGGCTGAACCTACTCTCACAGGGTCACTTTTGATCTTCTCCAGCCAGGAAGCATTATTAAAGTGCATGACACCCTCTTCACGTCTGAGGAACTCAGCTGTGCCACTTTTCTCAGAGGTCACACGGGCCTGGAGCTGGACTTGAGGCGGTTCTGGGACTGAGGTTGTAAAGTTACACTGCTGGGATTGGGTGGACACCCTTCTCTGGTTGGAGCTGGTGGAGAACAATTCATAATTCGTTGTGTTGATTCGCAGGTGAGGTTCTTTCATTTTTTTGGGCTGGTTTTGTTACAAGAATTACAAGAATAATGCTGAACCAGTGTGTATGTGTAAATAAGATAAAATCAGAGGGTGGACATGCTTGTTTGTTTCCTGTGCTATAGATAGTAACACTACTAATACGGTTGTCAGACATTTGATCCTAATATTTTAAAATGTTTACAACACTGGGATGCGTATATAGAGCATCCGGCTGCCACGTCTAGTATAATAGGGAGTTTTGAAAGTACATGTTTGTAACATTTTAATCAGACTAAACATATGTTTTGAAGTTAGTAAATTGCATTGCGAGAAATCAAGCAAAATTAATACATTTTGGGAGATGATTATACCTTAGAAAAAGTAGCGGCTGACAATTAATTTGATTTAATATTGTGATATTGTTAAACTATGAGGTGCGTCTTAGAATTTATTTAATTCATAAACTGACAGTCATATAGCATGCAGAAAAATATGGGACTTTCACTTGTCTTCGAAGAGTTATTTTTTCTTGAAATGATGAGGTAGTTATGATGGTTTTAATAATTAGTCATTAATGGAGTAAAAGGGGACAAAATATGATGGTAACCGAGATGATGCACATCCTGGAAATTTCCAAAAAGTGCATCTCAACATCTCAAGGTGTGTTAACCATCATCTGTTACCGTCATATTGTCCCCTCTAAAGCAATGAACTAATCCATTAATAAGTTCAAATTGTTATAAAAATGTTAAAATTGTCATAACATGTCATAAAAACATTGTCATAACAGGCACGTGACAGTCGCCTGATTTATTTAGCAAGTTATTTAATTTGACCGTCTGTTTATTTGTTAGCATCATATATGCAGAATAAATAAGCAAGAAAATGCAGAAAAATGAAAAAAAAACAAAAAAAAAACGAAATTGTTGTTGAATGTTTTAAAAAATTGATTTATTAATTTGTATTAGTAGTGTTCTCAAATGATTAATCGCATCCAAAATAAGTTTTTGCTTACATAATACATGTGTGTGTATATTTATTATATATATATAAATAGACACACGTGCATGTATATATTTAAGAAAAATGTTGTGTTTATATATTAAATATATTTATATATAATATAAACTATATGAATATAACTATATACATGTAAATATTTTCAAAAAATATACTGTATGTGTGTATTTATATATAAACAATAAATATACACAGTGCACACACATATATTATGTAAACAAAAACTTTTGGTAACACTTTCTATTAAGTCCATATTATAATACATTATAAGGGTATTCTTAAGGCATTATAATGAATGCATAATGCATTATATATAAAAAAAACGTTATAATATGTTATATCATCTTATTATAATACATTAAAAATGTTCTTATGAATATTCATATTTACTTATTTGTGGTTATAGCTTTTAAGAGTATGATGATTTATAACGTCTCGGTTACGTACGTTTTAGACAGCTGTTGATAAGTAACTCTGCAACATGTCAACTAGCAGTCATTGGAGTATTAGTAGTATGTCTGGTAAATATATGCTATCACTTTATTTTGATGGTTCCCCAACAGACAAACTCACTAGAAGTAACGTTGCAAGTACGTCAACATTCTACCTACCTTAACCTTAAAGGTGGGGTAAGCGATTTTTCAAAAACGCTTTAGAAAACTGATTCGGGCCAGTAGCAAAACAAACTTGTAGCCAATCAGCAGTAAGGGGCGTGGCTACCCATGGTGTGGAGGAGAGAGG